AAATTCTCTTTGTGGGCGAAGGAGATTTCTCTTTTTCTTTGAGTTTGGCCATTGCTTTTGGCTCTGGCTCCAACATTTGTGCTACTTCTCTCGACTCAGAAGGTACAAAGAGATACACCCAAATTGATCATTTCTTTCATAATTGTATGTATTCATGTTTCATGTTTTGTCAAAGTAAGGATTTTTAGATAGAATGATCACTCAAGTTCGATGCTTGTCTTCTATTGGTTAACACAATCGATTGGTTTTTGTCTTGCCTTTCTTTTATTGCAATTTTGGGAGTCTGTTTTTATAATGCATGAAAAGGACCCATCATTAATTTGTGACGATAGGGCTTTTGCTCTTTAATTTGCGCATTGGGCTTGTTGTTTGGCTAATCAGTTGATGACAATGTTGATGATGATGCATGTGTTTTTGTTCCTCTTTAATAAGAATCCAATAATTTCATGCAACTTTTTGTTAAACCCCGAATGCCTTATTGCTATGTGTCCCCTAGTTTGATTACATCCCTCAAAACAATGATCAGAATGCTATCAGGAAAAACCATGGTTCATCTAGTAGTATATTTGTTGTATATATTGTCCTTCTTAATTAGTTGGTATTAATGTTCCAGTTACATTAATGACTCTGCTAAGCCTGAGTTTGTTTTGTTTTCTACTTGTTTGTATATGGTATGTCTTCTGATTGAACAGATGATGTCATCAACAAGTACAAGAATGGCAAGTCGAATTTGGAAAATTTGAAGAAGCGGGGCGCAACCATTTTACACGGAGTTGATGCAACCAAAATGAAGAATCATGATGACTTAAAAAAGCGCAGGTTTGATCGAATTATCTTCAACTTCCCTCATTCAGGCTTCCATGGAAAGGAGAGTGATTACTGGGTGATTCAGTAAGTTCTCTAGTTCGTGATGTGTGTATAATTTAGTATCATTCTGGCTATTTTTAATGCCCTATGTTGATGATACTCTAGGAAACATAGGACTCTTGTGAGTGGATTCTTCAGCAATGCAAGCAAAATGCTTCAAGTCAATGGTGAAACACATGTGAACCATAAAATCACACACCCTTTTTGTTGTTGGAATCTCGAGGAACTGGCTCATGCAAATTCTCTGGAGCTGATTGAAAGCGTTGAGTTCAAAATAGGAGATTACCCTGGTTATAACAATAAGAGAGGGTCTGGTTCAAAATGTGATGAACCCTTCCCTTTGGATTTGTGCAATACCTACAAATTCAGATTTTTGAATAGAGCTAAAAACATATCTCAGCAATTGCAGGACTCCCCAGCCCAAATGCAGCTGCAGCCAAACACATCTGCTTTCAATTATGGTTATAGAAAACACATTGCAGCTGTGAATCCCTTTCCACTCCAACCGCAATTGCCCTATATAGTGGATGCCATGAATGATTGCTCTTGGAATTTTAACACATGCTCAAATGCTGCATTTGGAAGGGATATCAATAATCCAAGACAAGTAGAGCTGCCGTGCACAATATCTAATTTGAGTTTGTCACCAAGAAGTCACATTCGATGTCATGGGGGGCTGTTTTCTACCAATAATGCTGAACCTGGAAGCCATA